ATGAAATCTACAAGAAATCTTAAAAAACCTGTCGCTTGAGATGTTTGGCAAAGATTACAAAGAAATATTTCGAAATTATTCTATGCTACAAGGGTAGTCTACGCTTTCGAGCCGTGAGCAAAGTTGGATAGCTTCCTTATCGTCTCAGAAAAATGTGATAATTCGATTGGCGTCGCGAATAAACGCAGGCACGGTTAGGGCGGAAAGCAAGATCCTGAATGTTTTTAATTATTTTTTTTTTCCAGGACAGAATATTCGACGTGACCGATATTAATGCCGAGATAGAGAGAGCCAAGTCGACCCTGGAGGCGGCTGATACCGCTTTTCAGCGACACGCCGTCAAGTTCGACAACGACGACGAATTCGAGGAGACTCTCTCCTTGGCCCAGCGTATCGAGAGAAACCGGAAGTTGGCCGCCATAGATCCGATCGAGAAGCCGAAACTTCCGCCTCCGGTGGTTAAGTGGTCAAGATACCCGGAAACGGATGAAGAGCCAACGCGTAACAAAGCCATGCAGACTCGACAAGCGCGAATTAATTCTCTAATTGCGGAGAACGCCATGACCGACAATGCGCCTCCACCCCAGAAGGGAGGGTCCTTCTTAAAAAGAAAGAAGAGCGTCTCCTTCTAAAAAAGGCCGACGGTTGCTCCTAGGAAAGTGTTCGAGCAAACCGGCGGACTCGGCGAGAGCGTCTATCCTCGCCATTTTCGACATTACGTCTTTATCGATGTAAAAAACCTTCTTTTCTGGCTACTTGCTAGAAGAAAAAATACCAGATTACTAGGCTGTCTAGAGATCGGGGTTTTTAATACATTTTGGTTAATTAATCTAACGATAAGTTCAAAGTTGTTAAGGTGAAGTGAAACCCCCCTCGGATCAGTCGGTTCGAATACAACACTTCTTTTTAAGGGTAGTGGACAAAATTGTCCGAAACTTTGACACATGACTCGTGATCATCGAAGAATTGTCCTGACAGATTCAAGATTTGGATTTTTCAAAAGAAATTCTTCATTTAGCTCAGACCAGAACCAACATGTCGTCGAGCTCTCATATTTCGATCAATATACAATTATCGAAGGCTCTGATATGAGAAACGAAGGGGTCAGGACAATTTTACGACAATTTAGAACACTCTGGTAATCGATAAACTCCCATTTAAACGGGATAAAGCCAAAAAAAGTGTCTTATGCGCTTCTATGCTAAAACGATGGGAATACGAGGTCTCGGAGTGGAAATTTAGTTGACCTGGAAATCACAGATGGCGCAGGGTGTCCCTCTGCAGTCAATTAGGGTCCTAGAAAGCATGAATCCAGAGGATTTCTGGAGTTTTACTTCGATTTCTTTATAGTTATTGTACGAAAATGATAGATGGAATATGCCATTTGGTATAATACCTAATATAATTCGACACAGCTGTCCATATAAAAACGAACGTCGGCCACGTAGGTATTTATAAAAATCTTCTTTACTGACATCGATCAAGTTCCTCGACGTGTTTCGCTTCACTTTAAGTTTCTATTTGCGATGGGAGGTGTTTCTTTTAAAGCTGATATGTTTCCTAGGAATCTCTGGTATTTTTTCTTTCCCTTTTTTCGTATTTCCGTCTCCGGTAAAATTGGTGCTGTAATTGTTCTCAGAGCGGCGATGTGTGAAGTAATTATAACTGTGTGTTCGAAGAGGCACGATTATGCAGATTTTTTAATTCATTGGTAGGGCTTCGTTTTGAATATTAAAGCACAGATGGTTCATCGAAATTTAAAAAGTCCTGCCAATTCGCGTGAAAGAAAATCCTATAAATGAAATACTAAGCTCCTTATGTTCAGGAATAAATAATATGCATTGAGATGTGATTGCACGACTTTGAAAATATACTGGCGAGGTTCAAAGAAAATGTATTTACAGAACTGTCGATATACGAGAGAAAATAATAATCGATGCCTGTGATTAAATTATCATTGTTCCGTGTGGCGTTCTAAGTGATGATCAAAATTGTTAACGTATTCCTTATTTATCGTTTAATTTAGTTCATTGCATTGATTTGACTTTTGATATATGAGTCGAAATTTTGTCACTCTTATGGAATTATTACGTCAATTCAAATCGAGAATTTATTTGGAGCTAGAATAAAAAACGTTATTTGTCGTATGACCTTTATTCCACGATGAGAATGTATTGAGATTGTTTAAGTTGAAATTCAAAGTTAAGAACAATATAAAGAAGAAAAGCTATCTATCCGTAGTTGAAATCCTTTTAGACAAGTACATTCTGACCTACATAAAAGTGCCTTTTTATATTTGAATCGGCTTCATTTTTCTATTTCACATTCATCCCTATGTTCAATTATTTGTTTCTTATTATTTCTTTTAGTACTCAATTCTACGGAAGTTTCAAAGAATGCAGAGAGATTCGGGGAAGTTTGTACATCTTTACGGGGAAGTTTGTACATCTTATTTTTCATTTTATGTCATTGCAATCGCAAAGGATATCTCTCGTTAAATTACTTTCATTAGAATTACCCCAGACTGGTAAAATTGAAATCGGAATCAATTAAATCAGAAAGGAAAATTTGCTTCGTATCATATCACTGGTGCACCTCAGAATTTCTTTTAATGTGTGTTACGTTTTTAGATGAGTTATGAAAATTTATGTCATGAACAATTTCTGGTAAATGTTACCTTAATTATAAATATTCATAGAATACTGTAACAGGATTGGAACTGTAATTTATTATGTACGACAATGTATAAGGTGTTCTCCATAAAATGAATAAGAAGAGATTTATGAGGTGTGTAAGTGATGTACGATCCAATTAATTGAGATTTCAATTTTTTAGTATATAAAATAACTATTTCAAAAACGTCATAGATAATGCACATGAAAATGACTCCTAACATAATAATCCGTAGTAAGTTACGAGATTTGCAATAGATTTATTCAACGTAATTTCATGTAAATTATGAGATATAATGAAAATCTTGTTACCGAACTTTAGTTTGTACTTACAATATACGTCCCTTTATTCACTGGATAAGTTATGTTAAATTTATAGAAAACTTATTTAACCATCTAAGAATCGATCTGTCAAAAATTATATGATTAACTGTGACTTAAAATAAGAATAAAGGTATTCATTAGTTAACCCTTTCTCGAAATAAGGAACTTCTTTCATCTTTTTAGTTGTAGTGTCAAATTATAAGGAACAAAATTACATTATGTTATTATACTTTTTAATTGACCGTTAATAATATTAAAATAGGAGATAGTTAAATCATTATATTTTGAAGTCACTTATGATACGACAACATACATTGCATAAGAAATACTAGTTTAAAGGATTACAATAAAATGGTACAGACATAAGGATTTTATTGAATGAAAAATGTGAAACTGAAGAATATTTGATAACTAACTGCAAAAATACAATTGTATACTTCTTCAAAATTGCCTTCCTAAAAAGCATGATGAATAATTAATATACATATGTCATTTATGTACAATGCTGATTAAAAATTAATCTTACGCAAAACGTATTGAGACGAACAAAGATACAAGAAGAAGTTAATTTCAAGGGCAATCAATGATGTCGAAACACTAAGTTTTCGACACCTTTGGTATCGAGTCAAAAATCTTTATTTTTCAGTTTAGAATAAAGAAGTTAAAAGTTATAATTAAATGTATACTTAATATCCATAATAGATTTTCAAAAACTACAAATTGGTCAACAAATTAAGAAAGATGTTTTCCAAGTCATTTTATTATAGAATTGATAAGTATTAATGGTAATTACCTTAAGCTAAACATGTTAATAGATTTTTATAATAATAGTTTACGAGCTTTAACATATGTGGCAACGGTTCTGACACCACTCAATTTTAAGGCGTAATTTGATTTCAATGTCATCACAAGTCGAATGATACTCACATTTATTTATTAGGGATTTTCAGTGTACTGTGCACCACCTTAAAGTAATCGTAATAAATAAAAATTGGATATTTTAAAGGATTCATAATACCAAGAACAATAATTAGTCTACTACACCCTTCTTTATGGAAACAAAAGATTTGCATCTCAACTATCGAATTAATTATAAAATATAACTGTTAAAGCAGTTTTCATTTTCATTTTTTGCGAGAACTCCTCGATTGGCCGTAATTATCCTGCTTAAAACAACCCTAATAGTTTCTAATATTTAAGATGATATGAAAGGCACTGAGAAATTTAATCAAGGTCTATAAAATAAAATTCATCTATACCCCTTATGGTGGTAATGCCATTCCGAATACGTAAACGGTAACGTAAGCAGGAGCGTGTCGTTACCGACATTTTTATTTATGTTGAAGTCTTTTACAGTCTACGTTGAGAATTACACGAACTGAAGCGTTCTATATATCATTTCGGTAAAGTATTGATGAAGAGATCGACGTAAAACTGTCGAAATCCCGGGAATTCATTATTCTAACGACTGTTTAGGACCAACGGCGCCATCTGTGACGTTTAGCTGGAACTAAATTTTTCCTCTAAAAATACGTGTTACTCCGAAACAAGCCAGCATTCTCTTGCAGTATTTGGTGAAAGTATTGTCCATATTTTCCCATCTGACCCTATAATATTCCATTCCTACGGTATTCTAAATTATTCAAGCTAGGTCCTGAAACTCTTCATTTTCGATTCTAAGCCTCCAAGAAGCGTAAAACATCGAAAACGAGCCCGGACAACGCCATGTTGGTTCGACTCCATGATAAATAAATAAATTTTGTAAACAAAATTTCATAAGTATCAGGGCCTCCATATTCCCCTGATAAAATTTCAAACGAATCAGTACACACAATTCGGAGAAGATTTTCCCCAACGATATGACCTGATATGACCAGATATATCCCTATAATATTTATATAGTATTAGCTCCATGTGTTTTCATAATATTTTTCTACGAGATATACAAAACATTTCGTTTCATTTTAATACAAGTATTTTTTTGATATTATCTGTCGAATACATTATAAACGTTTTAAAAATATTTAAAATCAAGATCACACGTTTTGCTTCCATAATGAAATAGCGGAACAAAAGTATTAGAAAAATTTCTCGTGTTCTTTTTTGATACCAAATGAAGTGTCTGATAATAGTCGTGAAGTAAAAAATGTATTTTTATTACATGTTCATAAATTAAAAAATATCATTTCTATATATGTTTATAAATTATTGAAACAAAATGTGTCATTGAGATTTTCAAGAAATATTTCAGATATCTTCGAATGAAATATACGAGAAATCTTAAAAAATCTGTCGCTTGAGATATTTAGCAAAGATTACAAAGAAATATTTAGAAATTATTCTATGCTACTAGGGATATAGGCTGACTCTTTCATATCACCTGAATGTCACAAAGTTTTCATGGATCCATGTTCGATCTATTGCTGTTTCGACCCCATTTGAATACCCTTGACATTATTCGAGTTTAAGGTTTGATATGCTTTCAAGGTCGATATGACTTCGATGATATCGAGAGTCGACTATCGACGGCCTCGGTGTCCTTCACAATTATATATCCTTCGACAGAAGGCAGTATCGAAGAAATTCAGAACGACTCTTTAATGGACCAACGACTGGGTTGATTTATAGTAAGTAAACCAGATCAACGATTGCATGTCGATTGCGTGCCAATCGATCAATAGCTATTTGACCGTGCTGTCGAGAATGACAGCTATCCGTGACAAAGAAACCTATTAATAGCAGCAAATGTCATTTGACAGCAGGAACAACAATGCACCATTGACGACAACTCTCGGACAGTTCTCACTTTGATTTATTTTTCCTTCATAATTGACGGTTGCAATTAATTAGTTATGCACTGTCTGCATGAGATTTGGACTGCCAAACGTTGTTTATGTCAAATTTGCCAGGAATTAACGAGAGGAAAGGAGACTCAGAATTTTAATTATTACGATACTACTGCAATTGGTTAAAAGATTGGCACTAAATTTCATTTCATGAAACGTTTAATGTTTTTTAGTTTGTAGCGTTTGGTTGATGGATATGATCATGATTAGATTGATAATAATATTTTTCTAGAATTTTCTTTGATCAGTTTCTTTCTTCATTGATCATGATTAGATTGATAATAATATTTTTCTAGAATTTTCTGTGCGCGTTATTTAAAAAACAATTAAGTGACGGGGAAAGTTAAGTGCTTATTCAGTTTCAGTTTTTGTTGATGTATGAATGGAATAAAAGATGAATCTGGCAGACTGAAGTTGTTTTATATTAATTGGAATCTTTGTACAATAAAGTTGACAAATTGAAGGCACGGAGTCCAAGGCGTAAATATTTTAATTCTGTTTGTTATTAACTTCGTTAGAAAATGTATCCGTTCCGCAAGAGTCGACAGAATTATTTAACGTATTGATCTACGTAAGAAAGTCAATTTAACAAATTTCTTGTTAACGATGTTTCAGATTTGTCTTCATATTTCCTATTGTACAGAAGAGAATTTTATTTCCTAGCACCTACATTACTCTCATAGTGAAATAACGATAAAAATGATATTTCAAGTCAGCGCTATAATTTTAACACTAATAAATTGAGACGTAGGTTTAATTGTACGAAATTTTTTCATTCAACTCCACTACATAAGATTTATCACCAAACTGTTGAAATGTATTTATAAATGACACCGAGGAAGTTAACGATTTGAATTGATTGAAACGACTACGACACGCTATTGTCAAATATGTATCAGGAAACTCGGTAGAGTTTCCCTCCAAATATACACACTTGCATACGTACATATATACGTATAACTCAAAACTTTATTACTTTTCAAAAATTGAAAGGAAGCAAGTTATTGTTAAGAAATCTCTCTTAATTCATGCCATTAATGTGTACAACGAACTCAAGATGCATTTTCTCGGTGCAGCTCTTACTAGTGGTGCAAAGTAACACGGGTCGAAAGTAGACTACGACATAATATAATTAAATATGTATCAGGAAACTCGGTAGAGTTTCGCTCCAAATATACACACTTGCATACGTACATATATACGTATAACTCAAAACTTTATTACTTTTCAAAAATTGAAAGGAAGCAAGTTATTGTTAAGGAATCTCTTTTAATTCATGCCATTAATGTGTACAACGAACTCAAGATGCATTTTCTCGGTGCAGCTCTTACTAGTGGTGCAAGGACGAGTCGAGAATTTACGAGCTGGTTGCATGCCAAATTGCATTGAAATAATTTATCGGCTAAATATATGTTTATTCGGTTCAATGACAAGAGTTATCGAGCGTTGTTACCGCGGAGGTCGGCGGATGAATTGCAAATTGTGATTTACCCTCGGGTGCATCTCAATCTTGTTTACTGGGCTCCAGAACATGAGAAACATTTATGCAACGGTAATTGCATTGTATAATATCAGGATGTATCGCAAGGAGAGATCACTTGCATTCCGGCGATTGCAATTGCATTCTAGCCTAACATGACCTGCGCAAGTGATGATTGACAATTCCTTAGTTAAGATATATCCCAAGGCAATGACGACGTACACGTGCAGATGTATATATTAAGACCGAGACAAATGCTATTATACATCGCTGATAAAAATGTACCTAGATTTTCAACATAAATTTTTATTTTTAACCGAACGAAAGAAATGACAATGAATGAACGATTTTAAAGTAAATTTTGAAAGGAGTCATTTGACCCCGCTTGGTATGTTTAGTGTTAATATCCATTTTTATTCGATGGCAATTTCGATCCCTAGTAGCATAGAATAATTTATAAATATTTCTTTGTAATCTTTGCTAAATATTTCAAGCGACAGATTTTTTAAGTTTCCTTGTAGATTTCATTCTTATAGAATTGATAAGTATTAATGGTAATTACCTTNAGGAAACGTTTTGCAAATATTTCAAATGTCTGCTAAATATTTACAAAATGTACGATATTCGTTAAATATATAGAAAATATAGGATAAATATTTCGTGCTGCTAGGGGTTATTTAGGATTAAAAACGGAGGTGTTAAGGGTGATTCGTTAGAACGGTTGCAAAACGTGACCCAAAAGGCACCCAAAAGACTCCCTACTTGCGTTTGGAGGTCGCCAATTAACCTTGCGTACTTGAGCTAATTTGGAGTGTATATTAAACAGCTTGGGGATATTCCTTGAACAATGTGACCAGGCTGGCCAACCTTCTCGACTGACGTATTGGCTAACATCGATAAACTTTCAACGACATGCCTCAGCGACTGTTCCACTTAATCAAATTACATCATGTACACATATACCAACCAATTGCAAGCTCTGACGTACATCTCGACGAACCCAAACGCACCTACACGAATGCGCGAACTTTAAAAATACCGCACGCTTAAGCGGAAGCTTAAGGTGAAGTGAGACACATCGAGGAACTTGATCAACGTCGATAAAGAAGATTTTTCTAAATGCCTACGTGCCGACGTTCGTTTTTATATTGACAGCTGTATCGAATTATATTGGGTATTGTACAAAATGGCATACTCCACCCGTCGTTTTCGTACAATAATTATAAAGAAATCGAAGTAAAACTCCAGAAATCCTCTGGATTCATGATTTCTGAGGCCCTAATTGACCCTCTTCAGGATCTGCTAGACTTCTAGACCCTGAAATGTTAGTAGAAGCGTGTTAGAGAAGTTAATAAATTACCAGTTCAAGTAAAGCGAATCACTGAACCCCTATTTTAAGGTGAAGTGAAAGTAGACTGTAAAAGACTTCAATATAAATATAAATGTCGGTAACGGGACGCACCGGCTTATGTTCCCACTTGAGTATTCAAAACGATGTTACCACCAAAAAAGGAATAGATGAATTTTATTTTATCGACGTCGATTAAATTGCTCAGTGTCTTTCATATCATCTTAATAAGCTAATCGACCCACTGTCCACTATCAATGAAATACAGTGGTAGGATTTTTTGTATTTAAGAAACTTAATGAGACAATTATCTTTCCACCTGTATCCCTTACCTGTACACTTATACCTTACACAGGGTCATGTGGAGTTTGGTGTGAAAGAACGGAGCTAACCGACCCACTGTCCACTCTCAATGAAGTACAGTGGAAGGATTTTTGTATTTAAGAAGCTTAATGAGACAATTATCTTTCCACCTGTATATCTTACCTGTACACGTGTACCTTAGACAGGGCCATGTGGAGTTTGGTGTGAAAGAACGGAGCTAACCGACCCACTGTCCACTCTGAATAACGTACAGTGGAAGTATTTTTTGTTTTTAAGAAGCTTAATTATACAATTATCTTTCCACCTGTATACCTTACCTGTACACGTATACCTTAAATAGAGCCATGTGTGAAAGAACGGAGCTAACCAACCCACTGTCCACTCTCAATGCCGTACAGTGGTAGGATTTTTTGTATTTAAGAAGCTTAATTAGACAATTATCTTTCCACCTGTATACCTTATCTGTACACGTGTACCTCAGACAGGACCACGTGGAGTTGTTCGGTGTGAAAGAACGGAGCTAATCGACCCACTGTCCACTCTCAATGCCGTACAGTGGTAGGATTTTTTGTATTTAAGAAGCTTAATGAGACAATTATCTTTCCACCTGTATACCTTATCTGTACACGTGTACCTCAGACAGGACCACGTGGAGTTGTTCGGTGTGAAAGAACGGAGCTAATCGACCCACTGTCCACTCTCAATGCCGTACAGTGGTAGGATTTTTTGTATTTAAGAAGCTTAATTAGACAATTATCTTTCCACCTGTATACCTTAGACAGGGCCACGTGGATTTGTTCTGTGTGGCAAGAACGGAGCTAACCGACCCACTGTCGTCTCTCAATGCCGTACAGTGGAAGGATTTTTTGTATTTAAGAAGCTTAATTAAACAATTATCTTTCCACCTGTATACCTTACCTGTACACGTATACCTTAGACAGGGCCATGTGGAGTTGTTCGGTGTGGCAAGAACGGAGGCTGACTCGTCGCGTGCCAGACTCTACCTCCCCCTGGCCCTCCCACCCTGGGAGTGTCGATGCCAGACTTAGTGGGACAATTTGCGAAGGGGGGCTAGAGGGAGGCTGGGAATGCGTTATAAGCTAAAATAAAAGCGAAAGAAGACGAGGAGCCGCGAGTGGCGCGGATTTGTCGTGACGGGAGGGTGGTTTCTCGGAGTGAGTCGAGTTCAGTACGGACGATCGCCCATCGGAAAGCGGGCTACGCCTATCAGGTACCATTTTCGGCCTGTCTTCACCCTGGATTTCTCTTTTGGGGTTATTCACTTGGAAATCAGTGAAAACGATTTCCTTCTCTGAGAGCCGATTGCTTTTATTTCATACGGTAAACAACAATGCGACTCGGTAACAAGTGACACGTTCGGCCTTCAATTTGTGACAGTGTTTCGGTGATTTCCAATGATTTCCAGTGATTTCTGCTTGCGATTTCGAGCGTTAAAGTCCATGATTTCCTGAGCGAATATCCCCTCGGGATTTCTCTTGGTTTGCCCCGAGGAGCGGCCGAGTTTCGCGCCGAGTACTTCATGCGCCGGCCGCTAGGGTGTCTTCACGACAGCCCTGGCTCGACTCTGTGTAATTTCCAGTGCGCTAAGGTGAAGTGAAACACGTCGAGGAACTCGATCGACGACGATAAAGAAGATTTTTCTAAATATCTACGTTGACGACGTTCGTTTTTATATTGACAGTTACGTCGAATTATATTGGGTATTGCATTAAGTGCTCCACCAGTCGTTTTCGTGCAATAATTATAAAGAAATCGAAGTCAAACTCCAGAAATCCTCTGGATTCGTGTTTTCTGGGGCCCTAATTGGCTGCAGAGGGACACCTTGCGCCATCTGTGATTTCCAGGTCAATTAAATTTTCAATCCAAGACCTCGTATTTCCATCGTTTTGGTATAGAAGAGCATAAAACACTTTTTTTGCCTTTATCCCGTTCAAATGCGAGTTTATCGATTACCAGAGTGTTCAAAATTGTCATAAAATTGCCCTGACCCTTTCGATTCTCATATCGGAGCCTTCGATAATTGTATATTGATCGAAATATGAGAGCTCGACGCCATTGTGGCTTTGGTCTGGGCTATTAAAAAATTTTTTCCAAAAATCCAAATTTTGAATGGGTCAAGACAATTCTTAGATGGTCACGAGTCATGTGTCAAAGTTTCGGACAGTTTGGTCCAATACCCTTAAAAAAAAGTGTTGTATTCGAACCGACTGATGGAGTTGCTTCCAAGATATGAAGACTACCTTTGTTGTTTTAAATGGAATGCTAGATTGTTGCAACGATTCTTTTCTACGTGGAGTTGCTTCCAAGATATAAAGGCCACCTTTGTTGTTTTAAAGCGAATGATAGATGGTTGTAACGATTCTTTTGTACGTGGAATTGTTTCCAAGATATGAAGGCCACCTTTGTTGTTTTAAATGGAATGCTAGATGGTTGTAACGATTCTTTTGTACGTGGAGTTGTTTCCAAGATATGAAGGCCACCTTTGTTGTTTTAAATGGAATGCTAGATGGTTGTAACGGTACGTGGAGTTGTTTTCAAGATATGAAGACCACCTTTGTTGTTTTAAATGGAATGATAGAAGGTTGTAACGATTCTTTTGTACGTGGAGTTGTTCCCAAGATATGAAGGCCACCTTTGTTGTTTTAAATGGAATGATGTTTTTATATCTACCACTTCATAAAGATTCTGAGACAAATACAATCACCTATAATTAAGGTTATTCAAGGTCATTAAGGTCGCCTTTGTTTACAAAAAGTGTTCAAGGTGACGATTGTCGGTATATATGTAATACCGTAGTCTATTTATCACCGATTCAATCATATATCTTATTACTTCGCAATCTCTTCTTAAAGCATGTGCTGTAATAATTTGCTGTCACATATTTTTAGGTGTAATTGGTCCTTTCTTGTACATAATATCCTTTAAGGTGAGGTGAAAGGTGAGGATTTCTTTGTAATTATTGTACGAAAACGACAGGTGGAGTATGTCATTTGGTACAATACCCAATATAATTCGACACAGCTGTCAATATAAAAATGAACGTCGGCAACGTGGGCATTTAGAAAAATCTTCTTTATCGACGTTGATCAAGTTCCTCGGCGTGTTTCACTTCACCTTAAGGCCCGGCACATATATGTTCTTGGTGCGGGACTCAGTCGTCCGACAGTTCTAGATTACTCCGATTTTCTTTCAGCCACTAAGACCAGTTGAATCTCGACATACACGATGTTTGACGACGAACCACCTGCGTGGGATATCGGTGATGATACGACCGAAACCCCCGCTGCAGAAGGAGGGGAAGCTGCACCTGCAGAAGGAGCTGAAGCAGCTGCAGCTGGTGACGGAACTGGGAAACCTTACCGTTTGGAGAAGCTCACACCTCCAGAATACAACCACCATTGGGTCCGGCCATTGTTTCTAAATTATGGATACCTTTATGATTACAGGTAATACAAGATGCATGCTCATATTTCTTATAGCGTGCTTATTCTATTATATCAACTAAAATAAGCTATATATAGCTATAAAACCCTGAAATGCATTACTTTAACTGGGTAAATGTAATTAATTCGTAAACATTTTGCAGACCATTTGCTGTATGAAATGTCTGCAATATATGTACGCATATTACACAATAAGTTTGAAGGAAAATTTGCGGTAATTTTATCACACCATGGCTCCAATTTGAGCTACAGACGCTGCAATTGTTTATCAGCAATGCGTGAGATTAATTTAGCTGTACATATGCGTACAAACATTGAGACATTGTATGTATTTAACTTTCTATCATGTTTAAGTATTTTTTGTTCGTCATTGTGTAATGCAGATATGAGTCCGAAATGAGAACTCATAAGCAACACCTTCATGACTCGTTTTACGATCTTATATCAGGAAAATTTAATGGAAATTTTGCATTACTTTGTCTATCTGGGTATATGGAAAAATGTATTATGTTTTGTCTTGTAATTAGTTAAAGGTGTACTTATGTTTCCGTTGATGATTAATGCCGATGAATGATACTTCACAGGAGACACTTTCATATTTAAGTATTTTTTGTTCGTCATTATGTATTGTAGATATGAGTCCGAAATGAGAATTCATAAGTAACACCTTCATAATTCGTTTTATGATCTTATATGAGACAAATTTGATGGAAATTTTGCATTACTTTGTCTATCTGGGTATATGGAAAAATGTATTGTGTTTTGCCTTATAATTAGTTAAAACTGTACTTATGTTTCCGTTCATGATTAATGCCGATAAATGATACTTCACAGGAGACACTATTACGACGACGTAATCGATTATATGGATAAAAGGCAAAAAGGGCTATCCCGGGAGACCCCGAGAGCGCAAGAATGGGCAGAAAGGGCCATCAGGATGTATGACCTGAAGAACAGGGAGAAGAGCGTAAAACGAACGGTGGACATGGGTCAAATTATCAACTGGAGGACTCTGATAAGACACTACAGCTATCACACTCGCGCATACTACAGTCTCAAGTATCAAAAGATCCTCTGAAAAGTAGACTATCACCGTTTGAATAATTTAGGAAGAAGCGACCGCAGGAAAGGAGGGATAGGGAAAATGACGAAAACCGAAGAAAAAAAAAATGAAAAAATAGGCTTTCCGACTCGATAACGAATTTCATGTAAACGACACGTACGTTACGCGCTTAACAAATCGCATGATATAGAACATTGTTACGACATTTACATACTTACAGATGTACAGAATATCCCCGGATGCGTATTGTAACTCATTAGAACTGACAATTGTTTTTCTCATATTTACCTTTTTTTTTTTGGAAATTTCCACAGTGTGTTTGCATTACGTGTATCATAAGGTTGCAGAGATGGAGGAAGTCATTGTAATGGCGGTAAGAGGCATTTCAACCGATCGCCCAGAAAGTAGATTATTGACATGCCATCGTAATAGAATACATCGACATGTTTTTGGGTATCTCGTCCTCGAATGTTCATTGCACGTTGATTAAAAACTTAAGTTCGAAGAGTGCTATTACGCGTACGCCTGTTATAATACTTCGCACGACTTAAGGATTAAATTGTGATTATTATATGTAATAATAGTGTAATAATAGCGGACTCATGTATGTGCAATTAACAGATTTCTCTATGTAATCCGTATTTTGCGTCGATTTATCATTGTAAATTTATGATTTTTCTTAAGCGACGAGTGTTTCGAGTGACTTTAATACGAAACTAGGAGACAGCTGAAATTACAAGCCAAAATGGCGGCGCTTTATGAATGGTCACGTGGCTAATTTTTCAAATATTATACGCGAATTATTGTATGTAAATACGCGAAGGAGATATAAATGGTACAGTTACTGGTACCGAATAAAATAAATAACATACGTGACAATTGTACAATTTATTCGACTTTTTTATTTTATAATCACGAAAGAGGAATTAATTAGGACCTTGAAAAGTGAGTTAAACGAAAATAATCCAATAGGATGTTAATAATACTATGAAACGTTATGGACTATTTGGATACAAGAGGAAAAGAATTACATTATTTGCAGCAAGAAATCATATATATGTATATAACACATCGATTACATTGACATAACATTATCAGACCTAAAAAAATCAATTCTGTATCCTTATACAATCCCTTAACATTTCTTTAGAGCAACTTTAATGAATAAAAATCGAAATATTCCATTCACATCGATGCGTCACATTTTTGTTACTAAAATTTACAAGCGGATTTTTATAAAAAAACTATCCCAATCGTGGTACATTTCTAAAATGAAATATAGGCTGATGTATAAAGTCCAGGTCGCTTATTAATAAAAGGGAAGTAATTGAAGACAATTCGAACGGGTATAATGTCAACACTTTAATGTAGTCATAACCTGATACACAAGTGGCTTGTTTTTGTTTATCATAAACAATTATTAAAGACTATCGTTAATAGTAAATATATATGTATATATTTACCGTGTATATTTATAAGACGCGAAGCAAATTAAACTTTTAACATCTCGTAGTCATCATATACACATATATATATCATGTCGGTGTTGCACTCGCGACATAATTAGAATGTAATTACAAATAAGAGCAGTGGGCTTGTGTTTTGATTTACATGCTTCCTGTTTCTTTATTATTTTTTTTTTGTACGATTAATGGAAAAGAAACTAATTTCCTGACGCGCGTACCCAGAGGGACGTTATTATATTTTCGATAGAAAATATTCCTTTGTTGACATTCAGGATCAACCCTTGATTACGACTCGATGCTCCTTGCGTCACGAAACGTAATTACTTTTTATTCCTATTATAATTACGTGCGCTTAACTGTACAAAATAAGTTTTATCGATTTGTTTTTTAGTCGTGACCCACGCGCATGCAAGTCCGATTAAAATCGGCTTACACAGAGAAACAATTACGCCACCGTACACCCTTTAAACAATTAAAATGAATACGAAAGCCAATCAGCTGGAAAATATTGATGCATCGGTTTGCAGCATTAATTTTCTTTGTGTAATTAAACCGGGCTGCTCCTGACTTGAACGTTACATTTGGAGTACAATTACTATTTTTCAATAAAGCCCATGCACTGTTAACTCGCGAGAACGATACACTTTTAGAAACTTGTACATTTAAACTTATCATATACACGATAATCGAAGATTCGTCCACAAGCGCCAATTGATATCCAATACACACAAGATGTACGCGTTTTAAATTTCTGCAACTTACATGTAACGCATAGCATATATACTTGATATTTTCCTCATGTAACGATAAGTTTAATATTATCTTAAGAATTATTAGTAATTTTTTCCACAATTTTCTTTCAATTAATTAAACACGCAATACAGCTCATCGTCCCAATTGTCGAGGTGACCATTTGGGGAGGAATAGAACCTATCTTAAATATTGAATTTTGACAAGATAAATACATAACATCTAGGGATACCTGCATTAACTGACAATCAATGCAGTAATTTCGTCGTTGAATAAATTATTTAATTACCGCTCACCAGCGGAAGGTGCACCGATTTACATTCTGCACTGCCACGGTGAAATTTATAATTCTGCCCTAACGTTATAATAAATCATAATATTATTTTTCCTTTCAATTGTAGGATAAACGTACGAGTAAGGATGTATATTATTGCCTATCGATTTTACAAATTATTGCTCGACTTAAATAATCATATCGTTACAGTAGGTATGTCGCATTCAGTTTTCTACCCGATTAGTCACTGTACTCCGAGTGGAATTTTCTCACGTTACTGAATTTTCATATTTCCCTCCTCGACAAGTTTAGAATGTTTCGCGTTTTCGGGGTACGCACTCAGGATGAATTTGCCAAATATCGTGTAGATTTATACTTAGCACCGCTCTTATGTAGTAAGATAGAGAAACGCAAGATTCACGTATTCGTCGAGGGACATCGGAAGCACCGTGTCCAGAATATTTATTTCTCGACGACCGAGGATGTCGAAAGGGACAAAGGGATGTTTAAGGTGAAGTGAAACCCCCTTCAAATCAGTCGGTTCGAACACAACACTTTTTTTAAAGGGTATTGGACCAAACTGTCCGAAACTTTGACACATGACTCGTGATCATCTAAGAATTGTCCTGACACATTAAAAGTTTGGATTTTTGGAAAAAACTTTTTAACTTAGCCCAGACAGAACCAAAATGGCGTCGAGCTCTCATATTTCGATCAATATACAATTATCGAAGGCTCCGATATGGGAAACGAAACGGTCAGGACAATTTGTCGACAATTTAGAACACTCTGGTAATCGATAAACTCGCAGTTGAACGGGATGAAGGCAAAAAAAGTGTTTTATGCTCTTCTATACCAAAACGATGGAAATACGAGGTCTCGGAGTGAAAATTTAATTGACTTGGAAGTCACAGATGGCGCAAGGTGTCCATCTGCAGCCAATTGGGGCCTCAGAAATTATGAATCCAGAGGATTTATGGGGTTTTACTTTGATTTATTTATAATTATTGTACGAAAACGACAGGTGGAGTATGCCACTTAATGCAATAACCAATATAATTCGACACAACTGTTAATATAAAAACAAACGTCGGCAACGTAGGTACTTCACTTCACCTTAAACAATGGACAGGTGGGATCCGAAAAGGACCAAGATTTAGAATTATCAATTGACCGTTTTAATTTCGAGAATATTGTCAACTCTCGAAATGGTAATTCTTTAATGATCGCAACGTGGAAAGGGGAGTTTTCATAATATATACATTAATTAAGGGTGTGGCGGGGACATCTAACATGAAGGCTTTCAAAAATTAATGTTAGTTAAGGTCTTTTGATTTTATAAAAATATTTTCTTAGATTTTGTGTTAAAAGGGGGCTTTTAAAGGATTTTTAAGGATTTAGGTTGAGGGAAATTAAATGTTTTAGATTTTGAAACGTCGCGGGTTGGCCTTGATTTTTGGAATCCTGAGTCAATTATGTGTTAGGTAATTTCATTTCATGAACGTTTGCATTTAAGATTCATAACTCGGATGTGTCAAACCTAGACGTTGTCATCGGTTAAGCACTTTGTAAATAAAGCCGATAAATACGGGATAGATATTTTATGTTTGTAAAAGTTACTATCCTATTTGCTGTTATTTGGAGCTGGGTAATTGGACAAATAGTTTTCAGCGATCGTTTAGGAAATTTCTTAAGTTCTGGAAAGTTTGACAGAAAGGGACGAACGGACATATCTTAATATTTGCATTACATGCTAAGTATTAGTTTTGAGTTATAGTTCGGAGAGATTTTTGTATTAATGATTTGGTGGATTGGAAATGTTCACCAATTGTTTAGCAATGTTTGGATACATTGTTGAGAGAACTTTCCTGGATCGCAAAAGTGTGAATAAAAGTGGACAAGGTTTGTGATCCGTACAACAACAACAGCATGTTAAGATACAATGTTACATAGTCTTTGCAAATTTTACTTCAGTGTTATTCAAGTTACGTGCAACTCGTTGCAGTTTAATTTGAAAATTCAATTGCTACTCACAGTAATAATTTTATAGTGGTATATTTAACGCGTGTTAAAGAGTTCTTTTTTTTTCTCTCATAACTAGAAAGTAGAGCCGGTTAGTTTGAACCAAGCATTAGAGATAGTGGATCGTTTCAAGGTACAGGAACTAGAGCAATCCGATTCTTAACGTATTATTATTGTTAGTTAGTACCAAAGAATTGGATTCGAAGTTTTCGGAAAAATTGACATCCGTCGAGCCCCAAGATGGCAGATTTTGGAAGATTTCCTATCGGTTGCCCTCTCTCTTTCGGTTTTTATTTCCAAAATTCTTAACACGTAGTCCACCCTTTGCTTCATTTTGTCAAGCATTGAAATCCATACTTTAATTCGAGAATATAAAATGTTCGATTGCCCCATTGAGTTTCCTAACGTTACCATTTTGCAAGGAAAATCACAATACGTAATCCTCAAATTCGCGTTTTTCTTCGTAGTCCACGAATTCCTGTTTATATTTTCAGTGAAATTAGAATTTACGAATCAAGTTTTCGAAACTAAAACGTATTAAAACTGACTTTTCAAAGAAATTCTTGAAGACAATGCTCAAAACTTACGTTTCTTGCACCGTTTCAATGTTTATTCATTTCAACCGATGCCTTTGACGAAAGGAAATCATCAACTGCTTTCATTGAAGTTCCTGTTTATATTTTCAGTGAAATTAGAATTTAAGGATCAAGTTTTCCAAGCTAAAACGTACTAAAACTGACTTTTCAAAGAAATGCTCAAAACTTACGTTTCTTGCACCGTTTCGATATTTATTCGTTTCAACCGATGCCTTTGACGAAACGAAATCATCAACTCCTTTCATTTAAATTCCTGTTTATATTATCAGTGAAATTAGAATTTGCGAATCAAGTTTTCCAAACTAAAACGTATTAAAACTGACTTTTCAAAGAAATGCTCGAAGACAATGCTCAAAACATATGTTTCTTGCACCGTTTCGATATTTATTTCTGTCAACCGATACCTTTGACGAAACGAAATCATCAACTCCTTCCATTTAAACAATATTGCAATATTATTTGGAAGGAAATGAACTATCGGGCTTTCTAAAATTCGTAAGTCATACGTATTGTTCTTAATTTGTTTCCTCACAACTTGTTGACCAACAACGTACCCTGGGCAGGCAGCCAAATGTTGTATAATTCCTTTCACATCGTACGTTAATTTCCACCAACATTTCGGAAGTTAGCAGGTTTCATTCCAAGCCAGCAATTTCCGTGATATCCGTGAATAGCACGAGCCCACGATAACCCCAGATTTGGCCGTCAATTTAAGTCACGACACGCCGAAGAAAATTCATTCCGCCAGGAAAGGAACCTCGATTTCCCGCCGCGAATCGCTTG